CAGATGTACCACCACTTCTGCCCAATACTAAGAAACTTGAAAATATTATCTGACTTAGCCTAATGGTTGTGTACGAACCTACCTTAATTAGATTGGTACATGAAGCTATCCACAGTAAGGTTTAAAGTATCGACATGTATCATTCAGGGACCCCTCTAATACGCCCTTATAGTGAGTGTATTGGGGGTCTGATCGGTTCAGAGGATAAAATCAGTTCCCCTGAACCTGTTTTGAAAAAAAATTAAAAAAAAAAAGTAAAAAAAGGGTATTGATTCATCCAATATGCCTCTATCGACATATCAGGCGTATCGATATTGTGAATCTTAATCCACAGTGTGAAAACCTAATGGATATTCATAGGGGTGCAATTCGGGTTGACACGAATTAGCATTTTACACTATTTTGGCCGGGCCCATTCAAATCTTGACAAAACTCACCTCTAGTGAAGAATATATGTCGTGATTTCTTTCCTGCCGCATCCTCCATTATGTCCCATTTAGAAACCTTAGATATCAAATTGTCATTAGAAAGATCCTTGGAATTTCAGCTCTTTGGACAAATGGATTGGAAATGAATTCAAATTCAAATTCGGACAAATGGATATCATTTTAGCCCTATTTATACAGGGTTCATTTGACGTGTGAATATATCATCATGTGAGAAATTATCATCTAGTTTTTGTTTTCTTGCACATCTGCAAAATATGTTTTTAAGTGAGATTAGAGAGAACGAATCTGGTCTTCATTTTATCTAAAGTTCAAAGTATCAATACTTTTGATATGAAAATTTTAACCGTAGATGTGTAACATCACATATAATGTTTAAAACAAATAAAATCATGTAACTCTCATTTTTTACAATATCAATGACCATGAAAATCAATAGGTATTGGTTGATATGGATTGATTGTTCCTTGATTCAAAGATAAGAATCCATCATCGTTTAATCAAGCCAAATTAACAATTTGAATTGAACAGCATGATTGAAGGCGCCACACATGAAATGTATGTCTGGTATTACTTAGATGAATGATTTGATATAAAGAGATGGATTTGATAAATAGAGGTGCATAGTGGAGAATGAGAGTAGAGTGAGAAGCACAAACAGGATAAAGATGGGAAGAAAGGTAGGGGACAAGAATGAGAAAACCAAGAAGAAATAGTAGAAGATTCTAAGGCTATGTTTAGTTTGAAGGAAAAGGTAAGGAAATGAAGGGAAATGTAGGAAAACCTTTATAAACCTTGTAGGAAAAGTGAAGAATCCACCAATGGAAGAGAGTAAAACACTATTTCATTTCATATAAGTTAATAGATGATTAACAATAGATTTGTGAAAATGGGCATGTCAAACCATGTTGAGTCCTGGTTATTAGGACTGATGGCCTTACTAAAGAGGGGGTGAATTGGATAGAGATTTAAAAATCAATATTTGATTTCAAATTTGAATTCTTTGACTGTTAATCAGTCAAGGTCAAAACCCTTCCTCTCAAACTAAAGCTAAGCCTTCTTGATGGTAAACTCGAGATGTAGTGGAATGGAGGCTTAGTCAATTTAGTTCAACATTTAATCGAAATGTTACGTACTCTTTCATTAACCTAACTGCTGAGAAAAAAAGAAACTATAACTACAAAACAAATAAATAATATGATAGTAGGAGCTACATGTGTTAGCAGCCAACAAATAAGACTAATAATACCAATCACTACTAACGAGATGATAGCAATTGATAAGTAGATAAAACAAATAAATCTGCAACTTGTTATTGATTGGTGGTTCTACAGTTAAAACAAATAAATGTAAACAACTGTAAAAAATAAAGGGCAGCTGAATGTAAATGGTAGTTCCATCTAGTGGTGTGTGTTTGAGCAATTAGAGAGAGAACCAACCCCTAACAGTAGCAGAGAGATAGACCTTCTATAACGTGGTAGCTAAGATAAAAACCAATTATCTAGGTATAATCAATTTGAGATTCAAACAGTGATTAACTGCTACTAGAATCTCAAGGAAAAATCTAACTATAGAAATATAAATATGGTTGAACAAAAATGAACAATAAGCAGTTAGAATAATRGTTAGCAGTGGAAAAATGTTAGTAAGCAATAAAAGCTCCAAATTTGCTAAACTAAAGAGTTAGTGCAGTTAGTAATGTTAGTAACTTAGTAACTTAGTAAATGTACTAAATAACCTTGTATCTTGTAAGTGTAAACAATGAAAGACAAAATAAAATAAGATTTGCAAGATCTCAAGGGATCAAGTTATTTCAATTATGAGAATGTTAGCAATGAATAATAAACTTCAAAACTTCAAAAGAAAATGCAAAATCATAAGACACACAAGATTTTTATAGAGGTTTAGCTAACCTTGCCTACATCCTCTACCTTAGACCATCATTCAAGATTTTCACTAACTGATTAGACTTCCTAGAAACCAACCAAGCCTTTATAAATAGTAGGACTTAACAAGTGCCTGTAATACTTGAAACTAGCTGGACTTTATGGGCATTAATACAACCTGAACTAGTAGGGCTTTCGGGTGCCTATAAAATCTTGTAGCTAGACTTAATAGAAGTGCCAACAAGATCTTAATGGTGTTTAACAAGTTGAACACCTACCTGCTCAAAGATCTTTCTTTCTTTAGCACATGAGTAGACTTATAAGCAAGAGAAGCCTCCCAATAGATAGGTGGGATTATGCAAGCTCAATGGCTTCTCAACTTTGCTCACCTCTAACACTATTGAAATTCACAGATCTCTTCAAGAAAATAACTCTAGCCTAACTTGCTCTCTCTGAAAAACATTTATATACAATATGTACAAGGAATGCACTTATTGTTTTTCACAAGCCTAGATCAAATCTCTTGCTTTTTATTGATCTTTTGAATCAAGTTGAATTCCTCTATTTATAGAGGATTTGGGAGAAAATAATCATTTTATAGTTATTAGAGGGGTTTTCTTTCTTTAGTAATAATTCAAATTTCTCCCAACATGTTAAAACGCTTTCTAAAGATGGTAATAGTCATTAGAGCCTTCAAACAGTCAATTTTTCTTCCAAGTAATCGACTATTAATTTTGTTAGTTGACCACTTGATGAAGGGAAGAAATCTTTTTTCTCTCCTGGTCGACTGGTTCCTCCATAGCAGTTGACTAGTAACATATAAACTCAATTTGTCTGGGTTAGCCGACTATGCTTTTCTAGAGAGCCAGTCCAATACATAGCAGTTGACTATTAATAGACAATCCAATACTTAGAAACCTTGAAGATTTTGGTCCAAAGAATTAAAAACTCTTTCATTGGATTCAACGGGTATTTTCTTGATTTTTATCTCTTGTTTAATCTCAAGAAAACCTAGGAATCAAACCCTTTAAAGTTTATGGTTTTTAAGGTTGATTTTACCGAGTTCAATCTTGTTGAGAATCTAGTGAGTGCATCATACAACTGATCACAAGATCCTAAAAATAAAAATACAATTTGAACACTGCTTAATGTAGTCTTCTCCTTGGCTAGATGTTGTAGCAGATGTTTTTTAAGCAGCTCCAAACGTACTAAGTCTCTTAATAGCCTTGATGCTTGAATTTCTTGGATTTTCCTCAACTTAGAGAGATGATGATAGTGTAGAAGCCTTTGAAGCACAACCAGCCACCTCAGCAAAATTTCCACTTCATCTTTGATAGCATTCTAGTTTTAATACTCTTTTAGCCTAGAGAAACTTAGTTACACCATTAATACTATCAAATATTAATGAGTTTGTTATCAGTTATCATCAAAACGTATAGGTCCAATGTAGTCAAAAGGCCAAACCTGATTTTTATGCTTAATGGGTCTCCCCACCATGGCCGGATCTAGTCCCAACAAGCCATTGATGGCATATACATCAGGAACATCTCACCAACGGCTTGTTGGGAGATGTTCTCGATGTATAATTGCAATGGCTTGTTGGAACGTGTTGGGACCAGATCCAAACTCCTCTCCATCCAAGTCCAGAAATAGAACATCAATGGTGACAGCTCACATCAAGACCTAGGCTCAAATCATACTTCATTTTCTTTGAGATGGGTAGGGATGTCAATCCATCGGGTTCAATACAATTTTGCTTTCACCTTAACCTAACCCTCTAATTCTCCCACCCGAGTTAGATATGATTCTGACCAAATAACAAGTAGTTTCTAAACCCAACCTGACACCATAGAGTTCAACTTAACCAGCATCTTCAATTTTATTTTTTATAACACATTTTGAAAACCCAAGATCTATTTATAGGTTCCAAGGTGTCACTTCCTTCACTAAAAGAAGAAAAACAAAAACAAACATGACTTCAAAGCTATATGGAGTTAGATGCCGTATCACATTGCAAACCCAACGGGCTAGGGCAGCAAAACCTTAATCCAACTTAGGTTGAAGAATCAAAACCCTAACCCAACTCTACACCCGAGTAAACCTGACCTTAACCCGACCCTATACATAAAATCCGGGTGCTCATTGGATCACAGTTTTATGATTTTATCAATTAACCAGGAATTCGGTTTTTTCAAATCATACAGATCATCATTTAGCTGGGACCCAGAAAGGTCATTGGGTTACCGAATCACTGGTTCAATTTTCCTGTTCGATCCGAGTCTTACAACAGTAACCACACTGGTCGTGCCAAGCTTGTAGGATCTCCAAGCCTCAATATATTTCTTTACCAAAAAGAAACAAAAGCCTACTTCCCATTGCAGTGTTTATCAGAGTTTTTAAGAGTTCTAACGTAATTTTCGCGCACCGTCCAAGTTCTGTAAAAGTACTATAGCTCGATTATACTCAACCAAATCACAGTTCTCTTTGCTGAGACCCACTGAAGTGTAGCTATCTTGGGGACCCAACACCTTCCTTTYCAGGAGTCTTCTAGTAGCAGACTGTATTACTCATGATGCTAAATTTATATCAAGATATAAAGAGAAAAACAAGGTTAATTTCCACTTGTAGGCTGGCAAAGAAGCTTGATTACTACGTTGATGTCAGTTGGTTTACTGAGAGTTATGGAATCATATTTCCTGAAGTTTTACTTTATAAAATCCACCACCCTCTCCTGGAAGGAAACACAGCTTGGTTCAGGTTCTTATTCCGCATTGGGAAATTGGCTCTCCAACCCTCCACCCCTTCTAGATCTCCTCACAAATTCCAAACCCAGCTGGGCTCGATTCTTTCTTTATTTTCAGTTCAGTGATCGACCCTTTTGCTATTCATTCTTCCAATTCAGTCTCATAGTCTGTAATTCCGCTCTCTTGCCTGCAAAGTACAAACCATCGCTCATACTCTATGAAGGTTCCAAGGGAGAGAAGGTATGCTTTACTGCTAGCTGCAAATGACTCTGATTATGTGAAGAAAGTATATGGTGGGTACTTCAATGTGTTTGTTGATACGTATGGGGAAGAAGGAGATGAATGGGACCTGTTTAGGGTGGTGAATGGAGAATTTCCCAAAATGGAAGAGCTTCACAAGTACCATGGCTTTGTGATCAGCGGCAGCCCTCATGATGCTCATGCAAATGACCCTTGGATCTTGAAGCTTTGCTTTCTGATACAGACACTGGATGCTATGGAGATGAAAGTGCTTGGAATATGTTTTGGGCACCAAGTAAGTTGGATAACTGTTTTCATTTGTTTCTGTTTTTGGGTTGTGTTAATTTCATAGAGGAAAGTAATCATTTAGAAACAATTAGGTGCAATTAGCTCATAAAGCAAGCATTAGCCAGATCTAACAATTGGAGATCTCTGTCCTTTGTAGAGAAGAATTTATTTTGATGACTTTATATATCTGCCAAGAGATTTCTATGCTTCTATATATCCACCAAACCTGGGCCTGAAATATKCCAACAGATGCACACTATAGTAGAATCACCTGCTTTCTCATCAGCAGCATCAGAATTAATTTTGATCACTTGGCCTTTGAGAGGAATACACTTAGTGGATTCTGGGGTTGGGGCAAAACTCTACCTTCTATCTAATTACAACCTTGTTCTATATGGACAGCTATATATGGAATAGCCTTTCTCATACAAAACACTTGTTTATTCCTGTTAAACCATATAACCATAACATGAAAGCTGTTTCTATGCTAAATTATCAACATCTCCATCCTTTTATCTGAAAACTGTTCCAAAGAAATTTGTTGAATTTTGAGTCTAATTTGGCAAAACAACTCAAATTTATGATGCTCCAAATGTTCTTGGCAAATGAACATTCAAAAGGAGGTAACATGTTTCTTCTACAGAATTACAAAGAGGGCAAATTGGGTTAACATCCTTTCCTCTATTCTTGATCAGTATCTTATTGGTGGGTAACCTATTTTGGATCACAAGCAAAAAAAAATGAAAAACTTGAAAAAAAAAGAAGGTAATTTGGCCCAGCAATTAATTTTCCACACCGGCCAGTAGGTTTTCATTCGCTTCCAACAATATGTCTTTCATCAAGCATGGTATAGCTAGATCTGAATGAAAATCTGCATTTGGGATCTGGACCCCAATACAGGGAGTCTAGTTGAAGCTTGAGAAGGATAGGAGTTGCTTAAATTTTGTCAGGAGAATTGATGGATTTCCAGTTTCCATGATCTGTTAATGAGATCGACAAATTCAGACAGACCAACTTCCAGATTTACTTCTAAACATAAAAACTAGCTTCTCAGCATTAGTGGGATTCCAGTTTCAATGATATGTTAATGAAATCGACAAATTCAGGCAGGCCAACTTCCAGATTCAGTTCAAAACATAAAAACAGCTTCAAAAGTGAATTCATCACAAGCTCAATGATAGTTTATGAGCGAAAGCTTGGACGATTTTTATGCTTTGGAAAGTAAAGAAATTAGTGGGTCGTCAGCTGTATATATTGCTTCTAATTAAATGTGTTTCCCTGTACGCACTGTCACCACTAACCCGTCATTTAGAGAGTTTTGGTTTCAGGAGTAGTTGATAGCTTTCAGCTTATCTATTTTTCAGGTCTTGTGTCGAGCACTTGGTGGAAAAACTGGGAGAGCCTACAGTGGTTGGGATCTTGGTGTGAGGAAAGTGAAGATCATGGAGGATTTACCCCCAAGAAGCTTCTTTAATGATCTAAAGGAAATCCCACCTACTCTCTCCATCATTAAATGTCATCAAGATGAGGTTCTCTCTCTCTCATTGTTTTAAGTCTTGATATTTGGAAAATTTAGGCTTTCAACAACCCACCGACACAATATATTTTAAATAATAAATAGAATTTTTTCTGAGATTTTGGGATTTTGTTTATTTAATTAAAAGCTTTGATTACAGACCCAAGTTACAAAATGACAAAATTTTCTGAAATGTTCTCTCTCAAGTACCTGAGCAATGGAATAATGAATGGATCAGGTATGGGAGGTCCCTGTTGGAGCTGAAGTCATTGCCTTCTCAGATAAAACAGGAGTAGAGATGTTCATCCATGGTGACCACATATTGGGCATTCAAGGTCATCCTGAGTACACAAAAGATATTCTGTGTTATCTCATTAATCGTCTTGTGGATAACAACATCATCGAGGTAAATGAAAATTCACCACCAATTTTTATGCATTAATTAAGAAATTTTCTTCTCAGTAATCTAATTCTGGGCCAACTGATTACCAGAAACTGTATGCTGATGATGTGAAATCAACATTGGAGATCTTCGAACCAGACAGGAAGATTTGGGAGAAAATCTGCAGGAGCTTTCTTAAGAGGACATAATTTTAATCCAATTAAATTTGTAACCAACTTATTCCAAAGCAGTAGTTTCTCCTTGGTGGAGTCCAAAGTTGAAAATGATATCTCCAACTCCAATGAATGAATCAACTGCTTACCCAAAGAAAAGTAAGAATAGATCCCTTGGTTTATCTATCTTATAATGATTTTTTTTCCAAAGACTTCGTTTGGAAACAAAGTACATGGAGTGTAAATCCTGGTCCAGGGTAAATTTGCACTTTGGTTCATTTTTGCCTGTGTCTGGCAATATTGTATTTATATATTGACAAATGACAAAAAGTACATTTTTGAATGCATATTTACATTGATAATGAGATGTAAAAGTACATCAATAAAAAAGAAATAAATTTGCATTCAAGTGAGCTTTTGATAAAAAAGGCATATGCTTTATTGGAATTCATATTTGCATCCATTAAAACTAATTCAATCTTACAMTTTATATGGACCGTTTTACACTCTACATATTTGCATTCACAATTATTTGCATCATTTCCAAACGCAGTCTAAAGAGAAAAAAATGTTTAATTAATAATCACTAGGAGAGGGATTAGAGATGGCAACATGGATTCCTGGAGGATTTTGTAAATTCTACCCTTCTCACCTCCCCAAACCTCATAACCTGTAGTCTCTCCCAAATCTTCAATGAAATGGATTTTCAAAATGCAAATCCTCCCTGTATATGAAAGTGCAAAACCCTCCCCATCCCTATCCTCTTGAGAGTGAGACAAGTATTTAAGCAATGAACACAAAATAACATAAACAAATATCAAAGTTTCCAATTATTTAATTAAAACATGTAGAAAATTAACACATAAATTATTAATTATCCTTCACATAAGATTCAAAGCATTATTAAATTCAACACATAAATATAAGTTTATATTTCTTACATCAATAATTTAATTATAAGCACTAGGGATATCTTGTAAAATCCCAAAATATCTCTTCAAACAAAAAAGAAAAAACTGCCCTGGCGGGAAAGGTAGGGGCAGGTACCAATTAGGTAGGACAGAAATTGCTATCCTTAAGAAAATCCCAAAACCTGTCCTTACCCAAAATCTGTTCTTCAAACCAATGTTTAGAAAATTGGACAGAACAAATTAGTTGGACCAGTTGAACCATGACCTGGCCCCTAGCCGATTCAATCATACCCCAAAGCCATATTAAAAAACCAGCCAAAACCACTAATTTGAATGGTCAATCTTTTAAATTTCTTTAGCATATAAATGCAAACTTCTAAAGCTATAACTTTGCATTCAGATGTTTGATTGGAGTAATCTTTTTTTTTTTAACTTTTTGACCTCTACGTGTTTCCATTTGGTGACTTGCCCCACTATTTTTGCTACACATGCCTTTTTTTTGCCTAAAATACCATCCCACTCTATTCTTGATCCCCAGAGTTTTGGGTTTCTCCAAATCCACGACGAGGAGGCGGGGCAAAGCGGGGCCCACAGGAACGGATTAAACTACCATCTCTATAAATCTGTAATGTAATGAGATTTTCCTGTACAATTATTACTATAGATAATTTGTATTGTAAGTGTAGGGTGGTTATATACTTGGGTTGAACATGTGAATCACATTTGGAAGATTTGAGCTGAACGTATAATGGCCCACCTCACAAACTCATAAGGCCAAAAATCTGCGATTCTAAGAAGAAACACGTGGGCTCATTAAAAATTAGCGGGCCCACAAGTAATGGGCTGCTGGATAAAGAAGTAATGTGTTGAATATCACATCACAACTGCAAATAACCTTAAAAAAAACTGCAAGGAGAGGACAAAATTTATGAATACATCATGGTTTTCAAAATCGGACCAGACCAGACGGTCAGACCGGAAAAACCAAGAACTGATTAGGTGATCAGTTCCATTTTCTCCTAAAATCGAATTTTCTCTAAAAATTGTTGATTTTGGTTAACAAACTGCTGACCCAACCGGTTAACCATTCGAATTGTTTAAACCGTTTGAATGGTTTTCATCATTTTTATTTTTTTTTTATTTTTATTTTTGTCAGAATGGACCGAGCTTTCGAACCAAACGATTGGACCATTCAACCCAGTAACTGAACCCTGACCAGTTCGGTCTCTGAATCGATTTTAAAAACCATGGAATACATTATGGAGTTCAAATAGGGTTTATATTGAATTTTTTGCGCACGTTAAATCAAAATTTTAACTAACCATGTTGTAGATGTTACATCTATTTTTTTTTTTATTATTGATTCATATTATATAAGCTGCACTTTCACGTTTTACAATATGTATTTATCATTAACCATTTTAACAAAAGATGTGTCACTATGACATAATTGAATTATGTTACAATAGTTATAGAAAGTATAAACAAAAGGGGCTTAATTATTTTGGCCTTAGACTATTATGTTTTTAAGAGTCTGACCAAAGGCTCAAAAGATTTTTTAGCTCAGTTTTGCTGCCCAAGCACAAAACTCAATAGCATAAGCTTACCAAAAAAAAAAGCCTTACAGCCCATTTGGGAAGGCTTCAGCTTTGGTTGATTTGTTTTCACTTTAAAGAAGCGACATAAGTAGCTTCACTCGAAAAGTTGATTTTTGGGCTATGAAGCATATCATGGCTTTCTAGGCTTTTTCACCATATATAGCTTTTAGGCTTTTTCTGTGAGGCCCAGCTTGCAAATCTAGAAGCTGCAGCATAAAGGCCCTTCAATACTCGTTTGGGAAGGCTTTCAGGGTAAAACTTTTGGATTTGCAAGGTGGGCTCGCACTCAGACAGCCTATAAATAATGTTTGGTGAAAAAAATTGGAAAACCCAAATATATGCTATTTTCAGTCCAAAAAAGGGCTTGGGGCTTAGTGGAAACAGCTCAATCAAAACCTCAACACTCCTAAAGAGGATCATCTCTCATTTTCAATGAAAAGTTGGTCCACATTTGTTCGGCCTAGTTGGCTCAAATTTGGCCCCATCAATCAAACACCATCTAATCTTGGGCTCCATGGGCCAAATCATATACCCAAAGTGTTTTGTAGGCTGCATTTGTTTTTGGTGTAAATTTCGTCGATTTAAAGTACATTGATGGATTTAAACGCTGATGGGTTTAAAATTATTGAACCATTAGAACCTTTTTAAAGTGTAGTAATAGATGTAATAATACGTCAATGTATTATTATATCAATTATCGATGTAAAACTCAAACAATGGAGTACATTGAAAACAAACACATGGAAATACAGATCACGAGTGGAGTTTTACATCGGTCTGTATTTACACCGAAAATAAACACGGATAAATACAAACCAATGGTGGAATTTTATGTTGATTTGAATTTACACTTGCAAACAAATGCAGCCTTAACATTTCTTAGCCAACAAAAGGCTTTTCCTAACCCTAGGAGGAATTTTGAGGTAGATTAGCATGTAAAAAGTTTCTCCCCTTAAATATATTTGGCATTAATCATTTAGGCCTAGTTTGGAAAGAGTGGAAAAACAAAACTGTACAATGCAAATACAAGAGTTAGATATCTTGTATTTGCACTCATCGTCTCCACTCTCTTGTTCTCTCTTGTTCTCTTTTGTCTTCCAAGAAACTCTATGACGACCTAGGCTTTCAAGAACTAATTTAGATCAGTTTTATTTTTTGTTTTTGCAAGAAAAATTCAATAAGAAAATCATTACTTCAATTGATTCAAGCAAGTTTGATCACGGTTTTGCTGAAAATAGCGTTGTTGAACCAGCTTCACCTACACATTGTGCCTTTTTCAATGGAGACTGGTTTTAGGACTGATTTGGGCGCGAAATTCCACCTTAGGATCTATGCTTGTGGTATCCATATCATGTATAACTTCCCTTTTTTATTTGGTTTCAAATCTGGTCCAGTTCAGTGCAAGATTGATCCAGAAACAGAAAATTCAATTTTCAAATTCACTAGGAAATCGGTTCCCACAAGCATTTAAAAAAATTTTGAAACTTTGTCTAGCCATCTAACATGGCTCATCCATCCATACAATGGATTCTAAACCCTTCCAACAGTCCACCTGATCTCGCATCTCACCTATAGTGGCTTCACAATGTAGCACACGCATGTTAATGGTTGTGTACTTGTTAGTGGATTTCTCCCGCTTGCTTGCCTTCAATGCTTTGTCATTCACTGTGTCATCTGTAGGTGCATCATCGATCTCATGGGATGGGGACAGTCCATGCTCGATCTCCATGTCCCTGTTGTGCTTCAAGCGGTAGCTGCATTATGGGTCAAATGTTAACAATGAGCTCCTACTCTGATACCAACTACAACAGTAGTTGGCTTACTGCACTCTGATACCAACTATCACGAGGCTAGTTGACGAGGCCCCATGCGATGCTCGATTTGGTCAAGTAAGCCTATGAAAGTAAGCAATAACATACAAAAGGTAATAAATGAGGTACACAAATTAGTCAAAAGGCGCAAAAGGCATTGTGTATTGCATTAAAGATGGCAAGTGCAAACACACAAGTTTGTGTCGAGGAGATCTCATGCTTAACCTTTACATAGTATTGGCACCACTCAACTATCTATCTCCCCTCAAATAGTAACTTAAACTTTTGGTGCTTTGATAGAACGATACATCAAAATGTTGAAAAATCATACTAGTAATTACAATAATGCCATTAGCATTCCCCCCATACAAAATACATATGTTGCCCCATCGAAGATAAAATAGGGGACACTCTGATGGCACAATACGGGCACAGTGATGGAACTTGATGCTACGGCAAAATGGTCACTTGTGATAGTGGGGCATTTGTGGGGCGCAAATGTGAATTCTTGATGACCACCTAAAACTAATCATCACGGTTGATGACTCCATCTATCACGTTAACTACCAGTTGGTGCTCTAGCAACTAGTAGTAACTTTCTAAAACCTTTTTCAAAAAAACTGTTTTGATCGACCAAAATACTATTATTTTTTGTTGAAAACTATTGGAAAAACTTTTCTTAATGATTTATAAAATCAAAACTTGGATTTGAACAACCAAAAATTGTTCAAACGATAATTTTTTAATATGCCATGTCAGAAACTAGGCCTCAATACCAAATGATAAATTTAATATTGTCTCTTAACATATAGAAAACATTAATGAAACAAAATAAGAGGAGTTTGGTGACTTACCTCCTAYCATGGTCTAGCAATTGGTAGTAACATTCTAAAACATTATTTTCAAAAATTTTGTTTTGGCCGACCCAAAAT